AATAATAATAATAATAAGGGAGAAATGTGGGATTCACATATAAATGAAGTATAAAAATCAAACAAATATTTATATTTGACCTGATTGTTTATAGTTCATAATGTGTGATCAAAACTGAAAGTTTCTGTGATGACTGCCCTTGTACTGTTCACCATGTAAGAACTTATTCACTATGTAAGAAGTTGTTCACCATGTAAGAACTTGTTCGTTATGCTTCAGAAGATTGGAGACTGATGAGAATTAGGCTTGGGGTGGATTAATGATTGTACATTGAGCATTGAGTCCCCTATACAGAATTTTATTGTTATTAACAACCATTTGATCAATAAATATGAGAGATGCCCTCTCAAAAAAAAAAAAGTGAAAATCTCAGGTTATATCTCTTCAACAGAAGTAGTTCAAAAGCAGTTGATTTTTACATTTGAAGTGTTATCCTGTCAGTGCCTTTTGATAATGTGCTGAATACAAAGTGAGTTATTATGTTCAAGAGCTTCTGGAGAAATGGAAATTACTCTTATCATTTAATATGTATTTGTCTTCTATCTGCTCCCCTTAGTTGAACATTTTTTTCCATCCATATAAGAAAATACTGTGTTTTCTGTATATTCCAGTCATGCCCATTGGCTATTCATCACTACTATGTTTTTGGCACAATTAATTTTTTAATGAAATATCTTGCAGGCATCATTTAAAATAAAAACTCCTAACACTAGTTTGGAAAAAAAAAATGGTTGCTGTTTCAAGCCATTTGTGAGGAAAATGGAGCCACTATTGCCAGAACGCTTGCCTGATGCACTGCGCATGCACCTTAATGGCTCATACCTGTACCCACTCCACAGGTGCAGTGTTGTCTCAGGCTTATGGAACACTTGGCCCACTGTGCAGGTGCATGCTTGCACTCGGACAGGCAATGAGCCACTATTGTCTGTGCTGGTATAAAAAGGTGACCTCTAGGCACGGTGCATGGATTCGTGGATGTGGCTGTAATTCCAGTGCTCCATCTGTCACTGCAAGAATAAAGCTTGGTGTGAACCCTCCTTACAAAGCTCCGCTGTCGTTTTTTGGTCTTGCAGAATCCAGCGTGAACCTGCCAGGAGATCCTGCACTACACCATTAACATTTGTGGTAATCTGTTGCAACAGCACAAGGAAACTATACAGCTGTGCTTTCCCTGCCTGGATTATTTTCAAATCACCATAGAAGCTTTCATGACTTCCAGAAGTACTTTGAGTTGAGAGGTGAGGTCTCTGAGCTAATCACTTTCATTTTGTCCACTTGACAGTCCCGTGAGGGAGGGCTCTCTGCTCTCCCTTACAGTTCTTGTTGGTGCCCTTTTACCACAGCAGTCATATTATCAGCTATTTGATGATCCAAAGCCTTGCTCTCTGCTGGACTTTACCCCACACCACTGCTGTGATATTCTAAGGAATCACCATGCCCACAGGCCAGGTATTTCTTATGACCCACTGCTGTTGGACAAGGGGGTCACTCTTGTGTTCTCCAAATAACATTCTTATCATTTAATCCCATTTTGCAGATTTTTTTCCCCCTAGGGTCCCTCCTGATACCAAATATATGCCATTCCAGGGCCCAGCAAAAACAGAATTCATTTCAAATGTTTCAGATGGGCTGTGTTAAGGGACAACACATTGAGAAGTAATAAAAGTATCAGGAAGCTGTGTTTGGTTGGATGAAGGGACCAGGGGAGAGAAAATGGACAACAGAGTTCAACAAAGGCTGGGAATACCAAGAATGGGCTAGGTATCAGTCAGCTGGCACTCTGGACTGATGCAGAGGAATTTGGGGGTGAAATACAGTCAGCCTCTCTCTTTTCTCACCCTCAGATCTCCAGGGCTTGCTCCCTATTGGCCAAATTCAACCAGAATGAAGCCGGCAATTGAGTCTAAAAGATGCATCCCACAGACATGAGCCTTATAGGACACAGAGAAAGGGCAGTGAAGAGGCGTCAAAGGATCAGAGGCATATGTAGAATAACTAGCATAAAATATAAACATTATCATTTAGGATCCTCACAGTAACTTATTAAATAAAAATAACCATGGATATCGTAAATATAGTGCTACTGAAAGACTGTGACTCAAAGGGTTATGGGGGTTTGAGAGGAGACAGACCATGGGAACTTTATGCTTTGTTTAATAGTATCCAGTATTACTGAAAACCTTAAAAATTTTTCATGAATGACATTCAAAATGAATAAAATAGATAATACAAAGGAGAACTCTGGTGTAAAATATTCTGAAAAACAACAAAAAGCTTAGAGAAGGTAAATTAAAATTGTATGAAATTCCATTAGCCAGAGAAAATTATCATTGACATTTTAATATATTCATTCATTCATTTTTTTCTCCATTCAGATATGTGTATGTATGTGTTCCTATGTATGATATATTCATGCATATACATATTTCTTTATGAATTTTAAACTTAATATGCTTTTTCAGATTTAAAATATTGTTTGAAAATAAATTTTAATGGCCATATTGTATTCTGATACACACATACACACATATCATATATATGTACATAATGTATATGTCCTATATTATATACATGTATATAGACATAGAGATTACTTTAAAATTTCCAGTATTATAAATAATGCTGCAGCAAATTCCCTTGTACATAAATACTTGTGTATATTCCATTGTTTCCTTAGAGTAAATCCTCACATTTATTTTTAATCTCTGAATCTTCAATTCCTTATGATCATTAATTACTAAGTTAAAGTAGTGGGTGTTTTCTTCGGTTCTGCTTCCACCACTTCACAAAGCGGCCTTTTCTATCTGCCCCCTCTCCCCATGTCCTCAAGGACGTCAGGGTCAGTGCCTCCTCCGCACATCTCTTCTCACTGTTCTTCCTGGCCTTTCTAAATGGACAACAGAGTTCAACAAAGGCTGGGAATACCAAGAATGGGCTAGGTATCAGTCAGCTGGCACTCTGGACTGATGCAGAGGAATTTGGGGGTGAAATACAGTCAGCCTCTCTCTTTTCTCACCCTCAGATCTCTAGGGCTTGCTCCCTATTGGCCAAATTCAACCAGAATGAAGCCGGCAATTGAGTCTAAAAGATGCATCCCACAGACATGAGCCTTATAGGACACAGAGAAAGGGCAGTGAAGAGGCGTCAAAGGATCAGAGGCATATGTAGAATAACTAGCATAAAATATAAACATTATCATTTAGGATCCTCACAGTAACTTATTAAATAAAAATAACCATGGATATCGTAAATATAGTGCTACTGAAAGACTGTGACTCAAAGGGTTATGGGGGTTTGAGAGGAGACAGACCATGGGAACTTTATGCTTTGTTTAATAGTATCCAGTATTACTGAAAACCTTAAAAATTTTTCATGAATGACATTCAAAATGAATAAAATAGATAATACAAAGGAGAACTCTGGTGTAAAATATTCTGAAAAACAACAAAAAGCTTAGAGAAGGTAAATTAAAATTGTATGAAATTCCATTAGCCAGAGAAAATTATCATTGACATTTTAATATATTCATTCATTCATTTTTTTCTCCATTCAGATATGTGTATGTATGTGTTCCTATGTATGATATATTCATGCATATACATATTTCTTTATGAATTTTAAACTTAATATGCTTTTTCAGATTTAAAATATTGTTTGAAAATAAATTTTAATGGCCATATTGTATTCTGATACACACATACACACATATCATATATATGTACATAATGTATATGTCCTATATTATATACATGTATATAGACATAGAGATTACTTTAAAATTTCCAGTATTATAAATAATGCTGCAGCAAATTCCCTTGTACATAAATACTTGTGTATATTCCATTGTTTCCTTAGAGTAAATCCTCACATTTATTTTTAATCTCTGAATCTTCAATTCCTTATGATCATTAATTACTAAGTTAAAGTAGTGGGTGTTTTCTTCGGTTCTGCTTCCACCACTTCACAAAGCGGCCTTTTCTATCTGCCCCCTCTCCCCATGTCCTCAAGGACGTCAGGGTCAGTGCCTCCTCCGCACATCTCTTCTCACTGTTCTTCCTGGCCTTTCTCATAGCCTGACCTGGAGCAGCCATCTGGTCTGGTCTGGTCTGATGGCCAGTACTGGCCTGGCTTGTCTTGACTGTCCTGTCTCACATGTTTTCTCAGGAAAACTGATCTCTTTAGACCTTTCTGTTCAGAATCTATCTTTCAAAGGGACATGAAAGAATTTCTGGGCACAGTGCCAGTGAGAAGTGTGTCACACAGACAGACGAGATCTCCCTACTGCCACCTCCTCCCATCCTTAATTTTCTGACAAAAACTTCCTGCTTTTCCACAGTTATGAGACAAGTGGCAAAACTGTCCTGTTTAATATGCAAGAGCTAGTTCACAATCAGACAGCTATTTAAATGATTTAACTCCTTCTTGCCATTGATGCTGAAAAATCACATGGGGGAAAAAAAACCCTATGTATCATATACTGTAAAGTTATTCCTATCAGAGTTGGTCTTTCAAATGATTAAAGAAATTGAAGATAGTACAATTCTGTTATATTCTAGACTTCGGGTCTCAACCTCACTCAAGGCAGTTTTCTCAGCAATTTTAATTGATCTTTTTCATACATTCAAGCATGAGAAAACATGTATGGTTATTTCTAGGGCCTGGTCAATTAATCACCAACTTGCCTGTTGCATGGAATTTACGGTAAGAGAAAGCTTACTTATATTGATGGATCATCCTTCCGTAGGACCCATGAAGACACTGTATGCATGGAGGTCACCCCTCAGCCCCTGGGGGCCTCCCCTGACAGGTGGCGCAGTGACCTTTGCTGGAGCAGAGGACCAAAAAGTCATTGTGCACTGTAAGGGGCAGCTGGGTCGGAACTGCTGAGGACTTTTATTTGCAAATTCCTTAACATGCACATCCTGCAATGAAATTTACAAATGCTGCAGAAGATGTATCCCCTTGTATATAGTTATTTCAAATTTTTACAGATGCTCACGACCTCATGTTTTCCTGATTCACTGCAACAGCTTTTTTTTTCATGCATGAGGGAACTTGTATGTTTGTTTTTGAATCCCAGAATATGTTAATTAATTTTACATTATATAAATGTTAATTACCTTTTATATTTCTACTTTAAAAAAGGAAATGGAAATTGGCTATCTAAAGGGTACATATTTTTATGGGCTTAGATTAACAGTATTAATATGAGGGTATAAAATAACAAATAACTAATATACTTACCAGTTCCAGCCACAGTTGAAGGATTTGCTAGACATGTGAAATCTGGCTTGTTACTCTTTCAGTTTCCTTGTTTGTAATATTGGAATAATAACAGTCACTTGCCTCATAGGATTGCTGTAATTATGCAAAGAGATAATGCTGTAAAATTCTTAGTTCACTAGCTGGCTCCTAGTGATGCTATACAAATATTATTGGTATTATTTCTTCTTTATTATGCATTCATAATTATATTGTGATTAAACTTCTACATATCAATGTGCTTTCCAGTATCTCAACCCACACGAGATTGTATAATCTTTTATCAGTTCTGTGTTTACCTTATTACTTACCTGATTACCAACACTAATAATAACTAATATGGATTGTTTTTCAGCTTAAAGGGCATTCCTGTATTTTACTTGATCTTTACTACAACTAAATGAGCCAGAAATTATAAGTTCTAGTTCCCATTAATAAATAACTACTGGGGTTTTAAAAAAGTGCATTTATTCATTCATAACTTTTAAGGCTTTTATTACTAATACCTTTTGTACTACTTTATGACCTTTGCTGACATTGCAAGGAAGGAAGTGGCAACACCAATATCTGAACCTTGTACTTCTGTTTCCAAACTCCATACACTCCGTTGCCTGTTAAGTAACACTTCGGCCATCCCAAACTTCCCAACCATCTATATCATCACCATTTGAAGTAGTGTCAATTCATTCATCAAATTTAGCATGGATTGTTCATAAACTCCCTCACACAGTGAGGTCCTAATAATTTCAATACATCTCACAACATGATTTCCCAGCTTCCAGAGGTTCTATGGTTTCATAAAATGCTTCAAATCTCTATGACAAAAATTGTAATTAGATTAAACTGGTCCTTCATGTTTTCATTTGCGTGAATATGTAGTATGGCAGATATAGACAATAAAACAGGTGGGATAGAAAAGGCCGGGATGTAGAAAGAGTGGTGTTATTTTAGACCTGAAGAAAGTGAGTGCAAGGGC